TACGTACGTACGTACGTACGTACGTACGTACGTACGTACGTTACGTACGTTACGTAGTTAGTACGTAGTAGTAGTAGTAGTAGAGTAGAGAGAGGAAGAGAGAGAGAGAGAGTTGGCAAGATGTGTGCAGGAATGGAAAAAGGAGGCTTTGGCTGAAGGTGCAATTAATGGTTATGGGCTTCCTTTAGTCTGAGCGAGCATAACGACTGTTAGAGTGAGAACATAGGTGGTCCAGCACCTCTAAGTTTCTCTCTTTCTCTCTCTCTCTCTCTCGAGATCATGTATCTGTAACATGAACTCAAGTTGTGAAGGGGCAGCGCTTTGTTTTTTGGCAAGCCTCTCTCTCTAGATTTAGGAACAATTCCTGCTGTTTTTTTGGCAAGCTTCTTTCTCTCAAGATTCAGGACCAATTCCTCCTGCTACTCACTGGAAACTCTGCTACATTATTGATGAGCTCTTGCCGAAAGAGCCACCCAAAAGCCTCTCTCTCTCATTTGCTCCAATTCTCTGCAGGGTCGTCTCTCCCATCATTCAAGACCAAGTGCCACTTAACTCCTGCCAATTAGGGCATAAGCATTCTCTCTCTCTCTTGCTCTCTCTCTCAGCCATTAATTTCACCTTCAGCCAAAGCCTCTTTTTTTCCATTCCTGCAAACATCTTGCCAACTCTCTTTCTCTCTAAACTCCTCTCTCTCTCTCTCTCTAAAAACGGATAAAGAGTTAGACCACAAAATCACCGGCATTGCCGGCTCATAGTGCAGGTTTTGTCCCCTATGTTTACTCCCTCTTTTCATTGAAAAAAAAGTATTAAACAAAGCGAAAACATCGGATGGGGGGCAAACTTGGCAAAAAATAAAATAAAATCATGGAGGCATTCTTCCAGGTAATAACAACCTATTTTCAGGCCATATCGTTATAACTGTAAAAAAACCCGGTCCGTACGTAAATTTCCCTAATAATAAATTTGTCTTTCTTATTGTGATGATTGATCTACATGGGAAGAGATTCAATCTAAAGTATCATTCATCATCATCAAAGCCTTTTCCCAGTAATCTGAAGTATCATTATCACGTATAAAACATTATCAGTCAAAATTGATATTATGATAGGAATGGGCTTGGGCTTGGGCTTGGGTGGTAAGTAGAGCCAGGACATGACGTTGTGGGTTCCAATCCTACCAACTGTACCTGTTAACATGTGAAAATGAAAGAAAAGAAAAAAATGATATTATGGTAAGTATTGGGATATTTCTATCATAAGATCATGATATTCAGATGTCACAATATTATGTGAATTTTGTTTTCTATGAAACTGTAAGAAATTACAGAGATTGTGGTTGTGATTGATGAATCGTCTTTTAATGCTAATTTTTTAGGTTCTTATTTTTGTCTTCTCCATTGTATGTACTTGCCCTTCTTTGCTATAATATCATTTCTGACAAAAGCTACTAACTGGTGTAGGTTTTTGAAAGCAAGGAAGTTTGACATAGAAGAAGCAACAAAAATGTGGGTGGAGATGATTAAATGGAGAGAAAAAAATGGGATAGACACCATCCTTGAGGTGACTGATGAACATTGTAGAAGTTATTATTGTATTTTTCTTTTTGCTATGAAAGAGCAATTTAATTTTTAAGAGGAGCAATTCAGCATGCAAAACTTTTAGTTTGATTTGATACAAAACATCATATACCTCGGTTATTAAATGCTTATTTCAATTCAAGTTGTGCCCGTCTCATACATCATATTTTCGTAATGGTTTGATTTTAATTCAGTACTCTATGGAACTTGTTGTGATCTAGTAACTAGCTTCATTTAACTTCTTCTGACATGGTTTAGTTTATATCTTCTCATTGTTCATTTCTTTTTGGATAACTGACCTGTTTTGGTGGTTAAATGGTACTTAAAGCTCATTACTATAATGGTGGTGATATTATGGTATCTCATGGGAGACAAAGGGAATCCTATGAGCTCAAGGAAAGTGCCGAGAACCCAGTCTTGTTCAGCACATCGACTGATTTTTTGCCTTATGTCAGAATATCTTTTGATACCATTAAGCGCAAGCTTTTTTGAACTCACATTGATATGTTGTGGCTTATATTATTCATAGTGTATGCATTGATAATAAAAATTTATGCTATATTATAATTTGTGGCATGTGTTGTCCAAGGTGCATGCTCTCCACACTTACATAAATGTTTCATAGAGTCGTAATCAAAACACGTATAGTTACCACAATCATATAAATAACTCATAGAGATAGTAGTGTCCTAATAGATATAATCTTAAAAAATGCTTCATTGAGTCATATTAGATATGATAATGGAGCCCTAATAGACAACATTCTCAACAAATTGGGGCTGCTATAAAAATCATCTTTCATATAGACAACAGAGTGCCGTTGTAGATGATGTCCTCTGCAAAGTAGGGCTACTATTAAACTCTCTCAGCCACCCCCCCCACCCCTCAACAAAAAGGCAAAAAAAAAAAAACCCTCTACCTCCCTCCCTCGCCCCTGATAGATGAAACCCTCTCCCTTCCACTTGAGATAACACTGATAGATGAAACACTTAGTGGTGGTGCTTGAATTGTTTTGTCTCAAGCTAAATTCATCGTTTGGTTCGACTGTTATATATTGACGAAGTTGTTTCTCGGAGAGAAGTGATACTTCAAAAGAACCAGCAAAGTCTCTCCAAGATCTTTCAGACAACGTGGGACTGCCCATGTTGTGCTTTTCTCTAACTAAAATTGTCTTGTTCTCTCCAATATTGGCTATCATTTTCTCTAGAACTAAATAATCGTGAAACAAAGTGCTATGAAAAGCTTTCACTGATGCAACTGTAATACATAATTTCATGATTTTTTTGCCCATTGAACTTGGCCATTGGAAAACTTGCTTTAGGTTGTATTCCTATGTTTTCCCAAATTATAAACATCCTAAAGCCCATCATGTGATGACAAACGCAACATTATGTTTTACTTGGTTGACTCTGTATGTTGCCATTTCATCTTTCGCATACTCGTCTGGATGGTTCTCTTACATTTCTTCAGATTTAGTTGATGGTCCTTGATAATGTAGAATTAAGTATTTAATAGAATTATTCTGTTACTGTTCCTTTACTGTATGCTCCTTCAAAGTCTTGGTACTTTTTGATGTTCCTTTTTGTTATGGTGCTAGAGTTTGCTGACTTAAGTAACTCTTGCTCATGATTGTTCAGCTCTGTTCCTTCACTGGAATGTTCCTTCACCATGTAGACCATGTTTAGATCTCTTTTATCGGTTTTGTCTTCATTGCCTTCTTAATTTTCTGCTGAATCCTTAGCTTTCGATCTGGTTACAGGACTTTGTATATGAAGAACTTGAAGAAGTTCGGCAACATTACCCCCATGGCTATCATGGAGTCGATAGAGAAGGAAGACCAGTTTACATTGAGAGGCTCGGCAAAGTTGAACCTAACAAGCTCATGGATATCACTACTATGGAAAAATTCCTAAAATATCATGTCCAGGAGTTTGAGAGGGCTCTGATTGAGAAATTTCCGGCTTGTTCAATTGCAGCCAAAAGGCGCATTGCCTCCACAACAACGATATTGGATGTGCATGGGGTGGTACGTTGATAATGATATTTCCATCTGCACCTTTAAAATGTCATGTTTGCATCCATTGATGTAAAGATAACATTTCAATTCCACAATGAGTTAATATGCAATTGTTATCTTCTCTGAAGTTCATTTGCATCTCCTAAATATGGCAAACCTGCTTTTGGTGCTGACTTTCTAAGTAATTTATGTAGGGTTGGAAGAATTTTGGCAAGACTCCTAGAGACCTTCTAATGCACATGCAGAAGATTGATGGTGATTATTACCCTGAGGTATTCAACTTTTTTTACTGAGATCCACATGGCACAAAGATTGGCTTTTGCATGTAATGTTTTCACTAACTTTGGACCTTCAAAAGAAGAAATGCATTCATTTTGGTGTATTTCCTGCAGACCTTGCATCAGATGTTCGTTGTAAATGCTGGTCCAGGCTTCAAAATGGTATGGAACTTTGTAAAGGGTTTCCTTGACCCAAAAACTACTGCAAAGATACATGTAAGAGGGTTATCCATATCCCTGGTACTTTGTTTGTTATCCCATTTCCTGTCTTCTAGGGTGTGTTTGATTGTGGAAGAGGGGGGCTGCCAAAGCCCCCTCTTGTACAAAATATGGAAGCTGCCCCTTCCATGCTTTTCCAATAGGACCCGTGGAATGCCATGCTTGCATCTTGCAGCTTCCATGGGCCTGTAACAAACAAGGGAGTTGTTTTGATGGAACTTGTCTCCCACTACCCAGAAGTTCTACTAAAACAAACACGGTCTTAATATGAAAGCTTCTGGTAACCATCAGAATATGGTTTTTCAGGTATTGGGAACTAAATTCCAGAATAAACTACTTGAAGTCATTGATTCAAGGTGTGTGAGTTCTTTCTTCTTTCTTGAGTTGGTATACTATATTTCTATACTGGCATCCTATATAGGAGTACTGTATTCTCTTTGGACTTATACTTTCTTGAATTTTTTCAGCCAACTGCCAGATTTTTTGGGTGGTTCATGTACATGTTCCATTGAAGGAGGGTGTCTCCGATCTGATAAAGGGCCATGGAAAGATCCTGAGATTATGAAAGTAGGAAGTCTGTCTGTTCATTTAACGGTTAGAAATACTCTTATTAAGTTTTAATGAGTAACATTTCTTGGCACATTAATACCATATGGCACACAATTACTCTATCATAGAGCCAATGGTGGCTTTAAATTTTTCGATTCTGCATGATAATATCTGATTTTTTCTGTGTTTCTTCAATCCATAATCAAAATCATAGTTAGAAATACACTCAATGTAATGCTTCTGGTTTCTTTGGAAAATCTTTTTCTTCTACCTTTTTTTTTCCTTTAACATGGTTTTTGAGTCCTGTCTGGCCTTTATCTGAATGCTTCGGACAAAGTATCTGTAGCCTTGACTTAGAAAAAGATATTTGACATCTTCCTCTGCAGCTTGTAGCTGAAACATTTGGAAGAATAGCAGATGGAGAACAGAGAATTGAGTCCCACATGAGACTGCGATGTCTGAGGGTTAGTTCTTAATATTCGTGAGATTTTCGTCATTCCGTTGATTTCTTTGTTACTTCACCATCTGTGATTTTCTTTACCTTTTTTCTGAAATTATTGGATGATATCCTTTTGGATATCTTCTAATGTTACATATGGCACTCTTTTTAATTGCTTATATTACAGATACATAATAAATGTGTCCACTCATTTACCTTGATATTATTCTGTTTTGTTTGGTAAAATGCGTTCAGTACACTTGTGTAGATTGAGAGAAGGATAGATGTTTATTAGATGTTATCTTTTCATTATTGTCAGGGTAGAAATAGTGATACATCCACTGCTGAGTCAGGATCAGATGTAGATGATCTCGGTTCTCCTACTGGACATAGGGGCTCGGGGTTTACACGTTTGGCTCCGGTTCATGAAGAAGTGAGTTTCTCCTCAGTTCTGCTTTGATGGAAAAAAAAAAAAGAAGAAGAAAGAGCTTGCTTCAGATATGAGTAGTCCAAAAATTCATCGGCAACCTATATTAGTGTAAAGCATTGAAATCAGTGTTTCTAGCAACTAGTTCTATAAACTAGTAATGTGAGTCATGTTTTCAATTGAATCATAGCACAATGTGGTTACATTCGAATTACTTTTATATTATGAAAATGTCTCATATTTTGGTCCTCTCTGGAGAAGATGTTCCCCAAGGTGGGTTGAATACTCAAATTGGCTTTTTTAACTTGAAATAGAATTGTGCACACACACACGCATGCAGAGTTCATCCAATGCAATTATTCTATGGACTTCCCTAGTCATTCCTGATGTACT